CTCAAGTATCCCTTTATATAAAATTAAATAATGTTCTTTTTTCTTTCAAAAAACAAATTCTCTTTTGAATGCCTTCAGGTCCTTCACCAAGACAAGGATCCAACAATATCTTATGAATCTACTCATGCCTTAAAGTTCCTTTATATCTGTTAGGAGTAGCTTTGTAATCCGAATTAACGTTGAGATGGAGTGCATTAAGAAGATAAAGTTAAATGGACAAAATGAGAAATTTGGAAAAAATAGGTGCAGGATATATTTGATATTTAAGACTAAAGGATTTGGATTGAGTTAGGATTTAGAACGAATGAGAATTGAGTGTTTTGAGGGGCTAAAAGGGTTGATGGGTCGGTAAAGATGCGTCATGGGTGGGGATGAAATCTGAGTTAGCATGCATTTTAATTAACCAATCAGAAAAGGCCACGTTATGTTTAATAAAATATTTTTTTAATTACCTGAAGGTCCATTAGAAATAAGGGCATATATGTGCCACATTTTAACGGTAGGACAATTTTATCAACACCCCCCTGTCCTTTATAGTATAGTCGTAAAGGGCTTCTCAGAAAAGTAAAAAATAGGTGGACGAGGGGTATTTTTAAACCAAAGCGAATAAGTTAGGGACAATTTTGACCATTTTAATATAGTACTTTTTATATGTAATTACCTGATTTTTTTTCTCAACTAATATTTTAAAAATATTATTTCTAAAATTTAATGAAGTTTTACGCACCGAGCGAAGCGCGCATAATTTTACTAGTGTCATATAAAGCTGTTGGTGGGCCGGTCTGGGACCGGGACCGGACCGGGCCCGCGGTCCTAACGGGCTAAACGGTCCCGGCGGGCCGGTCCTGGTGGGCCGGTCCCTTAATGGGTAAGAAGCCCGTGACGGGCCGGTCTTGCTCGTGTAGCCCACGAGACCGGGACCGCTAAGCCCGGGACCGGCAGGCGGTCCTGGGCCGGTTCAACCGGGCCTAGCGGTCCTAACGGGCTCCAACGGCTAATTTTTAAAAAAAAACTTTTTTTTTTAAAAATAGCCAACGGTCAGATTTTAAAATCTAGCCGTTGGCCTTTAATTTTCAACCATTTGGAATTTTAAAAAATAGCCATTTGGCCCCCAAACTTTATTTTAACCCCAAACTTTATATAATTACACTTTTCCCCAATTCTCAACTATAAATACCCCCTCATTCTTTCATTTTTACTCACCAATTCATCAATCTATCTCAATCTCTCTCAATCTATATCTAATTTCTCTTCTATAATTGCTTATTTTATTATTGCAATTTTCGTGAAAAATTGTGAAGTTGGTGAATTGAAGTATTCAAGTCTTCAACGATTTTCAATTTTCAAGAAGTTGTTCGGCAATTCGGTAAACTCGTTCCAACTCTTAACTTTTAAGAATATATTTTTGTGTGTTTAGTTTGCATAATTGTAATTAATATGGCATTTTCTTTGAAAAAAATGTTTGGTGGTAAGGGAAAAGCTAAAATTGGTGAAAGTAGTCTCCAACCTACTACCCTTCCCCCGGCTCCCCGACCCAGACCTATTACCCGTCCTGCTGCTCCTATTATTCTTGATAGTGATAACCCTTGTTTTCAATTTTCCGATAGTGAATTTTGCCATAATGTTGCACAAGGTGAACAATTAAATGAAGAAGTTATGAATGCTCTTTATCCTAATCAAACTATCTTAGAAAATGATGAGGAAAATGAGGATGTAGATGAAACCCAACCGGATTTAGATGATTCACCTACTAGTCCTGTTAATAACCCAACTGATGCCCCGCCCGACCCACCTGTAGAAACCCCTACTTTTAATAGACAACCTTCTAAACGCCTAGAAACATCATTAGTTTGGAATTTTTTTACTCAAGTAAGAGAACAAAATAAGGCTAGGTGTAAAACTTGTGGGAAATTGCTGGCGCATAAATATACTGGAGACCGTAGTGGTACGGGTAGTTTGGCTAGGCACATACAAACACACCCTAGAGATAAAGTTAAATATTTACAAATGAAAGCGCGGCAAGAGGGGACAAGTGTAGATACTGCGGTTAACCCTAGTACAGGTTCAAATCTAGTTCAACCAGGAATTAACACTGTGACCGGTGGTATTTTATATTACGATCCTAATAAAGATCGTGAAGAATTAGCAAAGATGGTTACGGTTATGTGCTTACCATATACTTTCCCTATCCCCCCTATTTATGGTGTTGCTGCATTGTTAAATCCAACAATGAAATTAGGAGGTCCTCACTTTTGGTACACAAATATTTATAAGGCTTTAGATCTTTCAGTTGAGGAATTTTCTACACTTGCAGAGGCAAAAGCCTCAATTAAAATAAATGCGCAAACAATTTATAATGCTTACCAACTTGCGTTAGATCATGCTAGGCCAAATATTCCAACCCCTACTTCGTCTAGTTCACAATCATCTAAAAGAGCTGCGGGCCTACAAGCACTTAAATCTTGGACGGAGTTTAGGGGTTCTCAAGGTGATAATTTTGATGAGACTTCACATCTAAATGAGCTTCAAGTTTATTTGTCGCAGGGACTTGAAAAGGAGAATCCAGACGGCACCTTTGATCTGTTGGAATGGTGGAAGACAAGGGAAAAACATTTTCCGGTTCTTGCAAGGATGGCTCGGGATATTTATCTATTCAAGCTTCAACGGTTGCATCAGAGAGCGCTTTCAGTCAAGCAAGACTTCAAATAGGTGATCATAGAGCGTCTATGAGGGAGAGCTTGGAAAAATCAGTACTATTCAGAGATTGGATCCGCTCGGAAAGAAGAAACTTTGGACTTGCAGAATCACAACCGGAGATAGACGAAGCGTATGAAGAAATGATAGCGAACTTGCGGAGGATGCTGCTTCGCCCGGAAGCGGTGATGACCAAGCTTCTTTTCCGCCACCACACGGAACCTCCTCCGAACCTTGAAGGATTTATGAGATTTGTTAGAGATACAATGTAGATTATGGTGTAACTTGTACTTTGGCATATCTTCTTTAGTTTTTTTCCTTTTAATGGTGGTATTAGTACCTTGTTGTGCTCATTCCATGGGGGGAAGAAGACTAAGAAAGATATGCCATTTTTGGTAATAAAAATTATAAAACATACCCTTGGCCTTGAATATCTCTTCGCAATATTTTTTTGTCTTTAACTTGCAATTATTTATAAGGTATAATATATATACATAACATACAATATATACTACAACAAATTAATATAATGGAATATATATACATGACATACAATATATACTACAAGAAAATATATAAGGTATAATATATATACATAACATACAATATATACTACAACAAATTATATAATGGAAATATATATAACATAACATACAATATATACACAAGAAAATATATAAGGGAATATATATACATAACATACAATTTATACTACAACAAATTATATAATGGAATATATATACATAACATACAATATATACTACAAGAAAATATATAAGGGAATATATACATAACATACAATTTATACTACAACAAATTATTATAATGGAATATATATACATAACATACAATATATACTACAAGAAAATATATAAGGGAATATATACATAACATACAATTTATACTACAACAAATTATATAATGGAATATATATACATAACATACAATATATACTACAAAGAAAATATATAGGTATAATATATATACATAACATACAATATTACTACAACAATTATATAATGGAATATATATACATAACATACAATATATACTACAAGAAAATATATAAGGTATAATATATATACATAACATACAATATATACTACAACAAATTATATAATGGAATATATATACATAACATACAATATATACTACAAGAAAATATATAAGGGAATATATATACATAACATACAATATAACTACAAGAAAATACATAAGGGAATATATATACATAACATACAATATATAGTACACTATCATAGTATATATACTAGTATTACTATATATAATTAATATTTACATGAAGAAGTAGTACTATATATACTACAAAACAAGATTTTTCAAAATGAGGGCCCCACCCCCAATGACCACCAACGGTCATATTAATTGCACAAATAGCCGTTTTTTTTTAAATTTACAAAACTAACCTTCTCTAACACTATAAGTACCCCCCTCCCTCTTCTTCATTTCAATACTCAATACTCATTTCTCAATCTAAATTTCTCTCAATCTCTCAATCTCCAATTTTCAAGACTTCAAGTCTCAATCTCAATTTTCAAGTTAAATCATGCCTCGTTCGGAAAGAGTGCGCTTATTTGTGTCGCAATACTATGAAGTGCTTGAAGAAAATGAAGAAGGCCAAATATTAAAGTGCAAGAACTGTGGAAGAGTCTTAAATTTTCGTTCAGGGTGTACCACAGGCATTTTAAGGAGGCATATAAAGTATTGTGTTGAGGGTATTTATCCGCAAATTCGTCTTTAAGATTTTTCAACAATTTGTGTTATTTTAAAATTATTAGACGTATTTATGCTTCATGTTGTACTTTGTTATTAATTTATTATGCATGCCAATTTAGTTTTACTATTGATTTGTTATTTTACATTTTCGTCAAACACTTTAATAATTAGATTTCTATATTATATATACCACATATATTTATATAGCCATGCATAAGAGCAATTTATATATATACATACACATACGGTTTACAAGAAATTGCCCTAAATAAAAAAAATTTAAAAAAAAAGCCCGGAAATAAAAAAAGCCCGTTAGGCCCGCTAAGCCCACGAGCCCGGCCCATTTAGCCCAGGACCATATGGGCTTAGGCCCGTCACGGGCTGGTCCTACCCGTTGAGCCCACGAAGCCCGGGACCGCCAGAGCCCGGGACCGCTAAGCCCGGGCCCGTTTAGCCCGGCCCGTTTAGCCCATTTAGGCCCGGGCCCGGGCCCACATACAGCCTTAGTGTCATATTAATAATTCGGACGCACAAAAATTTTCTAATTTGATAAATTGGTTAGATTTCATTTGAGAAAGAAAAAAGAAATAAATGAGCCTCTCCTCTCTCTATAAATTAACAAAAGTGTAGAAGTGGAGGGAAGAATTTCCCGCCATTTCCGTCTTTGCTAAAGTTGTTCTTCCTCCTGCAAAAGAGAAGAAAAGAAAACCCTAACCCTAGGCCAGCCAGCGACCCCCATGGAGGAGCAAATCAAAGCTGAATTCCTGAAAAATGGCTTCGCTCTCGATGATGAAGCAGAAATTCTTAACAAATGTAAGTAAACAAATATGATTTTTTTGGGTTTTTCTTTCCCTATATATATGGAGAATTAGGGTTAATTTTCGTGATTTGTTTTCTGTCATAATTAGGTCTTACATTCTGTATACAATACAACCTAAGCCCTTCCGATCTCGTTTCTAGCTGGGACGTTTACTCGCTCAACAGGTCAGACTTCACTCAATTCTAATTTTAGTGAAAAAAAGGTCCTAATTTTCTTTTTTGTGTTTGTGTAAATTTCAGTTTATTTTGCTTCTCAAGCGAATTAGTAAACTAGACGAAAACAAAAAAATAAGTACTGAATATTTACTAAATAAAGTTACTGAATAGGGAAGATCCAGGACATAGAGTTAGTGGGTTCGGAGTTCACCTGCTGCCCTCTTGAAGCAGTGGTATTCAGTTTTCTTGTATATAGTATATATACCAATTCTAATGGACATTTACATATCAGAACCCATTGCTTGTTAATTAACTCAGCCTGTTACTGAAGCATGATTAGATTAAAGACTTAGCCTCAAACGAGTTCACATTTCCTTTCTTTTTTGTTGTGCTAAGGAAATGAGAGCTAAGTCAAATATGTGGCCATATACTAGTGAAACCAAGACTCTTTCTCGAGCTATGGTGAAAAACTTGGAGGTTTAAGTGGATGAAAGAAAAGAAAACAAAGAACCATTTCTTTTTAGAATATTCAAATTGCTAAGACACTTTGGGCTTCCAGTTTTTCAGCTTCTAAAATTAATTTGTTAGAATATAGTAAAATTCCATACTTGTATTCATTAAAAGATATTGAAGCATCTTTGATTAGATCAGATGCTGCTAAAATTGCAAAGACAGTATTTTCTTAGTAACTACTTAGGCCTACAGATATGACTTAATTTGGAAATTAAAAGTCCTTTGGTAAGTTGGTGGCAATGTTGAAGAAAAGTAAAAGCAGAATGGAAAAACACTTATATTGTGGAGCAACACATGGATGGTCAAATAACTTGAACCAGCCCGATTTTTCTTTCTGTTATTCTAGATATACCTAAAGTTTGACTCTTTGATATTCTTTTCACCTCTGGATAGGAACTGAAGTGGCATTGCATTTTACTCCTTTGAATTTTAATTGAAATCCTAACGGACCAAACCTGGAGTTCCACTTGATGGCCATTTGTTTCAGGGGGCTGGAATTGATGGTGCAGAGTTCACATATGGGTGCATTTCTACAACAATTACAGAATGAACGGAGAGAGGACATTGTTAAAAAGGAACCTGGTTTACATTTCTACTCCAGTGATATTTCTATGTGAGTGTATTCTCTAGTTCAGCCTCTGAGTATATTAAATTTTTTGAATTTAGTATCCTTGAACCTCCCATTTCCTTGTCTCAATTGGGCTGACTTACAATGATTAGTAACCTTCTGGCAAATGTTCAGTTTGCCTTTTCCGGATCAGGGGTCAAATATATCTCATTCTGTTGTTTCAGGAAAATCTTTTGACATTTTATATCTCTTGTGCAGAAGGGGAGCCTTGGGGTAACTGGTAAAGTTGTTGCCATGTGACCAGGAGGTCACGGGTTCAAGCCGTGGAAACAGCCTGTTGTAGAAATGCAGGGTAAGGCTGCATACTGTAGCCTTGTGGCCCGGTCCTTCCCCGGGCCCTGCGCATAGCGGGAGCTTAGTGTACCGGGCTGTCCTTTATATCTCTAGTGCCTGTGATTCTGGAACTCTTACAGAAATAGTTTTGCACTTTTGCTCATATTAGATGTAAAAATAGCTGCTATTATCCACCTTTTTTGAACTCTATCTGTCCCCTTTCAAATTGTTATGAAGTGGGAAACAAAAACAAAGATTCTATACTTTATTAACTGACCCTAAAAACAAAGGCGAGTCTAGCTAAGAGGCCACTAATGTGAAATTTAGATATTTCCTCTAGGTTACTGAATATGTGACTTCTCAATGCTTGACGCTGAAAAATATCAACACAGGATATTGAATGATGAATACGAGGATACCAAGGAAATCATTCTAGGTACCCCAACAGATAAACGAAAGTCATCACAGGCAGAAACAACTGCTTCAGCACAAAAAACTAATGGGAGCATTTCCACCTCCAGAAAGCATCTAGAAACAATTACACCCTTCGGACAAAGAAGGAACAAGTTTGTGGTGCAGTTTTCTCTCAATGAGAAGGCCAATGGAGAAAGTATGAATATAGAACATGATCAGGAGAACCCCAATGATGACATCATAAAGAGAGTCCAACCAAGCAAAAGATGTTCTTTGCAAATCATTAGCTCTCAACCTGAGCCAGGGTGCAAGTTCATGTATGACAGGATGGAAAATAAGGTACATCCTATGTCACAGAGGTAGAATACCTAGGTTTTTCCACTACGAAGTCCTTACTAATTTTTATTTTTATCAGTTTAATTTTCTTGAAAGCCGAATAAAAGATCATGCAACAGCACTTGTAGCCTCTGGATTGCATGAGGAACCAACTGATCCTACTGTTGCTTCACAGGTAACATCTTTGCTTCTGAAGTATGAGATTCCCACTCCACATATTTGCACTGGCATTCCGCTGTTTTTCCACTATAATGCAAGTGCAAATTTATGTATTAAAAGTTTGACATTTAAGTGCTTTTCCAATTATTATCTTGATTTCCATTTTGACAAGGGGACATAATTTTAACTCTTTTATGGATCTTGTTGTTCAGAGATCTGTATTTGCTGTTGGGATGATTTGTTGTGAGGAAGAAGGGCGTTTGAAGGAAAAGCCTATTTTACTGCAAAGCAGGTAAGAAGCTGCTGTCTGCATATATAATTAGTCTTTTGCTTCCTGCAAGAATCAGCTCTTTATTTTGGTTTGAGTTGGTCTCAAAGTTTTTCCGCAGTTTACAGATGGTCCACCTTGGTTGCATTTTTCACCAAGTCACTTCTTAAGTATTCCATTATTTAGAGGATTCTGTGCACTTCTATTCCTCTAGATCAATTCAGTCAGCAGTAGCTGAAGTATGATAGATTAATAGTTACATTCATATTCTTAGAAGCATATTAAGAATATTGGCATTGTTGGTAACAACTGTGAATATTTCCATTGATAACAAAAAGAATAACAAGCTAATGGGCACCTAGTTCCAAAACCAACCTTCTAGGAAGCGTGTTTAAGACATAGGCCCCAGCACAGACTAATTACACAGTAAATGTTGTAAATAACCTGTACAACTATGTATCTTCCTGGACATTTTCGGTGTACTAATTCTATCACTTCCTTCTTTATCTCTGTTACCACTAACTCACTATTTACATATATTCCTCTAAACAATCTCCAATTCCTTATTCTCCAAGTATGGTAGATCATGGCACTCCAAATTGCTGCAAACACTTCCTTTTTGAAAATATTGGCATTGTTATCTTGACTAGCTTTGACATTAATCATTATTTACACATTATTGACATGATTGATAGATGTCAGAAGAACCTAGAGAATTTTCCATCTATCTTGGTGCCATTAAGCACCTATGTAAATTTGTCTTTCCATGGGTATGCTGTCTCTATGGTTGATGATATCTAGTTTCTAACAGCGTTGAGCATTCTGGAGGTCAGCGTGTGCGCCTTGACTTGCAAAACTTGAACCACTTCTCTATTTTCCCTGGCCAGGTATTGTAAAGAGACTGCATGTATTGTTTTATTAGTACTTTAAAATGTTGAACAAAGAATGAACCTCAAAAATTCATACTCAGGTGGTTGGTGTTGAAGGGCATAACCCAAGTGGCCACTGTCTAATTGCATCAAAAATTGTTGATCACATTCCTTTGTCGGTTTCTTCCATGGAAAATCCCGCACCTTCTAAGAAGCAAGCAATGGATCAAGATCTTCAGTCAACCAACGCCTCATGTGCTATGCCAGAGCTGTCATTGGTGGGTAAGCTTGTACTCCATATAAGTCTACCACAAAATTAAACATAAGAGTGAGTGAGATACATGTATTTGGCTTACTAATGGTAGAAATCTGTTTATTATTTATATGAAATGCCTGTTTTACTAAGAAGTATCCTTGGTTTTGGATTTTATCTCTCATGCCTGTCTTTCTCAGTTCGAAAAACTTTAGGATACTGACACTTCATTTCAACTCTGTTTACCTTTTATGTAAGTACATGAAATATCCTTTGCTGGAGTTGGCCCCTTTTGACAACAAACAATGTTTTTCAGAGACATTTGTTGCCTTATTACTGGCGGTAACCGGTGCAGCTTTTGTAAATGAATTCTGGACATATTTATTATGTATGTCATATGATGAATATTACCTTCCATAAGGTGGCCTTCTGGTTTGCAGATTTTGCTGTGCTCCTTATCCATTTAATTTGGTGTGTGTTCTTCGTTTTGCCCCTTTTTTTTCTTTTTCTTTGTATGTTTTTTACTTGAGTGTAATTAGAAGCTCTGAGCATAGCATACATGAAGAGAAGGGCATTATCCTTCGGTTCTGACTTTTGGATGTGCAACCAATCTCTAATCTGCAGCAAACGATTATACCATCCTTTCTGTATTTTTTCTTACTTTGTTTTGGCGCCTTGTCAACATTTTATGTTCTTGTACAGATTATAGCTGCAGGTCCTTTTACAACTGTTGATAACTTATTCTTCGAACCTCTTACCGAGCTTCTATCATATGCACGTCGCAAGCAGCCTCAATTGATCATACTGGTAATGAGTTTACAGCCCTCATGCAAAAGTTGTAACTCTTTTTTATTAACTGATATAGAAGTTTGCTGCCATGTGACCAGGAGGTCACGGGTTCAAGCCGTGGAAACAGCCTCTTGCAGAAATGCAGGGTAAGGCTGCGTACAATAGACCCTTGTGGTCCGGCCCTTCCATGGACCCCGCGCATAGCGGGAGCTTAGTGCACCGGGCTGCCCTCTTTATATCGAAGTTTCATTGTACCTTCGTAAATTCTCTTGACAGCTAGGGCCATTTATAGATTCGGATCATCCCGAGATCAAGAAAGGAACCGTGAATAGGGCATTTGATGAAATCTTTCAGGATGAAATTCTTGCGAGGGTATCTGTATATAAAACTTCTTTTCTTTTTCCATGAAAGTTCTGGCTTTTATATGTTTATTCAATTTCCTTCCATTGGCTGTTTTCCAGTTGAGAGATTATGGAGAATATATGGGTTCTGCTGCTCGGGTGATTCTTGTTCCATCTGTTCGAGATGCTAACCATGACTTTGTTTACCCTCAGGTGAACATTTCCATCAGCTTAATCATCCTTTTTTTGTGCTGTTATGTCATATACAGTATTGATACATTATTTTGTTGCTTACAGCCAGCCTTCGACATTCACTCACCCGATCTAGAATATCAGGTATGCAGTGTACTGCCATATGTCAAATTATTACTAGAGAAGGCTTAGTCTGGGATGATCATGTACTATTACTGACAACGATTTTGTATGTTACCAGATTAATAGCATTACAAATCCTGGAGTATTCTGTGCAAATGAGGTAGAAGCTGATGATATGCCCAGCAACTTTATTCCTTGTGTTTTCTTAACTATTACATGCTTTTCTTCTCGTCTTCACTGATAATTAAGCTGAAAAGGTCTTGGAAAACTCGGTGGAATGTTTTATCTGTCCTGCTGACTGCAAGTCTGTAGACTGTACAGATTGAATTTTGGATGACGTGAAAATAAAAGTTGGGACTCACCAATACTAAACGTCAATCGTAGAAAGCAGTTCTAAGATTTTTTTTTACCTCTCGCGGCCTTGCCCTCAGTGGAAGGGAATTTCTCCATGCTACGACAGCTCTTGATATTTTTATTTCAGGTGAAAGTGGCTTGCTGTACAGTGGATGTTCTTAAACAGCTTAGTGCGGAGGAGATTTCACGAAATCCACAAGGGGGATCAAAGCAACGAATGACAACTCTCGCAAACCATATATTAAACCAGCGCAGGCATGTTTCAGTTGGCACTGTTTGCAATTCCTCTTGTTAATGCAGAAAGCTCAATTAACCCTATTTATGCTGAATGTTTTTCTTTTTTTGCAAACTAAATGCAACAGCTTCTATCCTCTATATCCACCAGCTGAAGGCATACCCATTGATTATTCTCTTGCTCCAGAAGCTCTTCAGATGTCAACTGTCCCAGATATACTCATCTTACCCTCGGACTTGGCTCATTTTGTTAGGGTAGTATGACTTGCTGATTTCCACATCAAAACTTTGCTTCTATTATTTTAGCAATATGGAACTAATGCAACTAACTCTGTTGAACAGACATGAATGCGCTTGATCATGAAGATATTCACACAATCAATTTATTAAGAATTTCATCTGCCTGCAGGTGATCTCCCTTGGAGAAAGAAGTGAAGGGGAAGAAGTAAAGTGCATTTGTGTGAATCCTGGACGACTTTCAAGGGGAGAAGGAGGAGGTTTCTTTGTGGAGCTTAATTACCACGGAAGCTGTGATTTGTCAAGTGCTTCAGTTATTCGTATATAGAACTAAGACTTGGAATCTTCTTGCACTCCATAATTTAGCAGCCAGAAACTCATGAACTAAATCACCACGACTATGAAGAACTTGGGCACACTGCACTCTTGAAGGCTTCTCATGGATACTAACACAAGAAACAAGTGTGCTGTAGCTGAATCTATTCCGTTGGTGATGTTCAGCTGCCATTATTCAGAAGCAAGTGTCTAGATATTAAGGAAGTCGTTATAGCTGGTCAGAGTCTTACGCAACCTTACAAGTTCAGCTGCTGTCTGAGGTCAATATTTAGGAAGTTAAATTTTCTGTCTGGCTCATTATAGCATCTCAGCTACTCGGAGAAGTTCTGCTACCTTGTCCGTGGGGGTTAGAGAAAATATAACATAAAACTACTGTCACTGTCTGTTAGTTGTAGGTAATTATCTTCTGGCGGGATCCTTTTCTGTATGATGAAATACAAATTCGCTAAGGTTGTCTGCTATGAGATGCAGGAGAGAGGGAGCTTAACTCGTTTGAGTTCAAGTGGTCAGCCAGCCCCATATGAGATTCCTTTTTGCAATGAGTCAATTACTGCGTATAAGAAAGATTTTAAGTGTTTGTTTGAATTTTTCCAAGACTTGAGTTTGCAAGCCCAGTTCTTTTTTTGGAAAGTAATTATTAGTGCTTTTATGCAAAAAAAAAAAAAAATCCAAACTCAATTTTGTTTTGGGGAAAAAAAAAAGAAAAGTTTTTTTGAGTATTTGAAAAATTATCAAAGAAAAGTTCAACTGCATATTTCTTTTTTTTTCATAAATAGGTCAACAAATAATGTTTTCCAAAAACTCGAAACTCATTTTTTGGAGAACTTCAAAACAAATGCTACCAGGTCTTTTTTCAATTCACAAGCCGAGCCTGCCTGTATCAATCAGTTACATCGTTTTCAGCAATATGCTAAAGAGAACAGTGATCCAAATGAGGGAATAATGCCATTAATACGCGTTCACTTCATCTCCATAGTTATTGCAGACACTCCAAGTAAATCCTACGCAACCCAAACCACCCCCTCCCCCCC